CGCGCTGTAGTGCCCTGTACTCGGTACTGGAACAGTTCCAGTACCGATTACAGTGCACTACATCCCTTACTAAGATTGCTGGGTTGAACATAGCGTCGCAATCATGAGCCTTCTCGATGGAGTTCTCGAACAACTCGGCAGCGCAAGCTGGATTTGCCTCCACCCCCTCTGGGCCTTCCGTTAGCATTAATGGTAACGGAAGGCCCAGCAAACTTTTGCCGCGGTTGACCATTGCGCCGCTGTGACCGTGCTCCCCTCAAAAACTACCCTTCACCCTTCAAGGGTAGCTCGTACTTATCATCACTTTACCAATACAAGCCCCGGAGAGCATGAGACAGGACGAGAAGGCGGCCTCCGAGCAGAGCAGCATCGCCAGTCGTCAGCATGCCAACGACGGTAACACTGTGTTCAGGCTAGGCAACCTAGCGAGGGACGGACGGGATGGAGTAGAAAACGATGCCGCAGGCTCTGTGAAGCTGTACGAGGCCGCAGTATTCCGCTGTTTCCCTCTCAAGACGTACATGTACGCCCCTTGCCATGCTCGGTGTGTTTTTCACCCAACACGCTCTCCCATTCCCTGGCACATCTCTCAACCGACACCTTTCTTCTCTCCGGTCTCCCGACGCTTTCTCTCCTCGCAAACGTATTTGCGGTCTCACAAAGGCCTCTTTTTGGCACCCCCGGCAATCTCGGAAACACCCGTGGCGTTGCTTTCACCTTTCTTACGGCCATAATACACTTCTTTCTTCTGTCAATCTCTTCCGCCTCTTCCCCTGCGCCTGCATCTACTCCCACGGCCACGACTCGCGCACACCTTCCAGCTTCCCGCCCAAAAGCGGGAGCTCGGTCGCACGTAAAACGGAAAATTCCATCTTGTAAAAATCGATTTTTGGTCGTGTAGGGGGCGGGCATGGCCGAAGGAATGGCTCCTCGACCTCTCCGGGCTTGGCTCCGACGCCGATGAGGACGCATCCGCGGGAGGCGACGCCCTTGTCGTAGGGATCTGCCGGCCCTTCAGGCATGCCATCAAAGTTTTAGTACCGCGGCTTCATCAAGGCAACTTCACGCACGCCGTCTTCATAGTCTTCGCCATCGGCGGGGTCCTCGCGAACGACGGCAGTGGTCATATTCTGGAACCGCTCCTCAAAGGAGACGTTGACTTGGCCGGTGGGTTGATCCTCACGGAAGGGGTCTTGCAGCCACTCGTTCGGGCGGGTAGAAATACATATCTCTTTGAAAGATGTGTCGGGATGCGTCATATCGAGGAAGCATTAGAAATGTAAGTTCAAATCTATCGGATTGCGAGCAACATATTTCGGCCCAGAAGCAGCTGGCGTGACAGGCGGGGCCAATCAGGGCGCCGAGGAAAGGGCTGTTCCGAAGAGAATAGCGGTGAGGGTCGGTCTATACAGCCACTTTTTTTGCTTGCATGCACGGTTTCTGAGCTCCTATTGGCTCCCCTTGGGAAATCCCGGGTGTATGATAAATGTATGATAACGTATGATACTTTTGCATGCAAATGTACGATCAACTTCTCCCACGCAAAAAAGAAGTTGCTCGAACAAATGCACGACCGCTTCGCACCATTTTCGAGACGGATTTGGCGGCAAAGTCTCAGCGACAGAACTGGCGGCAAAATCTCAGCAGTTTCGCTGAAACGTTGCCGCCAATTCTGTCACATCGGACTTTGCCGCCAAATCCGTCTACTGCCAGGCAGTAGAAGTCTCCGATGTGACAGAATTGCGGGCCGCATTTCCGCGGCGCGAGGCTGGGTGCGCGACACACTTTCCCCACTCATCACCAGCGGCGAAGATGACCTCGCTCACTCCCCGCCAGCTGCTGCCTGCAGTGTCGCTACCGGGGCTGCTGATGAGTGCAGAGTCAGCGCCGCCGTCAACTCCGCCGTCAACTCCGTCGGCCCATGCGGAGGGAGAAGACAATGATGAGAGAGGTGACGTCGGGCACAGCAGCATGATGAGTCCGTACGATAGCAACTACATGGACGATACCGTCACGGATGAAACGGAAACCATCCGTGACAAAGTCTACACCTTCTTGATGACCCAAACTGCCCAGAACCTGCGCGGCATTTGCAAGAGGCTCAAGAAAAAGTATCAGCTGCGTGCCCAGCAGGCCGGCAGGAAGAGAGTAGTGGTATGCTCGATACTCACTGCACTATATGCGTATGACGGCGACCAGCCTTGGGATACAATCCTTGGTGACTCCTGTACGAACTGGATCGCACTGTGCGCCCACATGGTTTCTAAATGCCCTTCTGCGGAAGACCTGCAGACGTTTAACCTGCACCTCTTCCGGACGCCTCGAAGCGAAAGCTGCATGATCGCGCCTACGGAGGCTCCCTTCACATTGAACGAATTCGCTCGAATCGTCGCTATTGTTTACAAGCACGACGACGCTCGGTCAGCTCTAATTCAGTCCGGTCGCAACCTAGAGCGGAGCGAGCTCGACAAGGGCGCAACACGAGACGAGTTCTGGGAAACGATTATCAAACGATTATTCAACGACGCTAAGGTTGAGATACCACTGACATTGTCTGCCTACGTTGCAAATGTTGATAGCACGGCCGCACCCGTGACAGAGAGAAGCGGTGAAAAGCTCAAGTATCAGCTGTACCGGTCTAAAAGAATGTTTACGGAGGCTTATCGCAAGTGGAGCGTGTTTGGGCAAAACGACCCGGAGGCATTCCCAGACTTCCTGCCATGTAAGCCGCGCACTCCAGGTGAGATCAGCAGTGAGGGGAAGAGGGCACTAATATTATTTGCTTGCATGGAGTGTGGTCTTCCGAGTGAGGATACGGAGGACCTGAATTTTACTCAGAAGCTGGCGCCCGCCGGTGTCGGCTATGACCACGGGAACGGGGAGGGCGATGGGTCTGGGGCACAGGGCAGGCCCGAGTCCGTCGCGCAGTCACGAAGCAGGGGTCGTAAACGAAGGGCGGCAGAGGGGGAGGGAATGGACTTGGCGGTCAGTGCTGTCAAGGAGATGTCAACAGGCATACAGGCAGCTCTGGATGGCATAGCGTCGACTCTGGACTCGTCAACATCCACGCCTGGTGCTGAGGCGTCCAAAAAGCAAAAATTTATCGATGCTGCCACCGACATGATTTCGAAGAAGCTGGTCATGCTTGACGCTTTGAGCAGTGTCTCGAGCCAGATCCAGAAGATGCAGCAGAGTGGCGGCTGCGCTCAAGTCATCGCGCTGTTTGAGAAGGAGCGCAGCGCAATCATCACGCGTCTTAGCGAGGCCGAAGATGAAGAGTAAGTAAGCAGAAAGCATAGCAGCTGTTCTCCGCGGTGCGCTGCGTAGATACGGTAAAACTTCACCGCTGTTTTCTGTTACTTTTCGCCGAGAAGCGGAGTAGCAGCGTCTTCACAGCAAAGAGCCATTCGATAAATGTCACAATGTAGCCTTTTATTCGATCAAGTCGGCCTATACAGCTGTCTATGATGGAGATTTTGAGTGAGCTCTTCTCGCAGCTGTGAAACTTCACGGTCCCTTCGGCGCCCTTGAGCGTTGGCGGCCTCATCACGAAGCTCTGCTGCGATTTCCCACCACTCTTCGAAGGCAGAGTCAAGACTGCTCCTGCTCGCGGGAGTCAAAGACTCTCGAATGGAGGGTGAGCCTTGATCCACGCACCAGTTGTGCAGTCTCATGCACGCGCCAAGAATAACGGGAGCACGAATAACGGGAGCCCGCCGCAGGCTGCACCTCAGCGGACTCCAGAGCACGCCTAATCTCGCAAGAAGCATTCCAAACGCCTGCTCCACATGAATGCGGACGGAGCTCTGGAAAAAGTTAAACGCATCTCTTGCGACGCCAAACTCCGCGTGTCTGAGCTGCGACAGGCCCCACGGTGTTAAAAGTGAGTTCACGCACTCAAAGGCCGCATCGGCGGCTATCCAATACCCTTCCATCATGCGACCGGCAGCAAGCTGCATTCCCAGAGATGAAACACTGAATGCCAATGAATCGTGCGTGCTGCCTACACATAGCGCAGAAAAAAAGTGAACCTATACCTCGCCTCCACCACAGCTTGGACGGGTATGCAGTACATGCCCTTCCGGCACCAATAATTCCGTGGGTTCATGCTGCCCGGCGGCTTCAAGAATTGCACAGCGATTCCATCGACGGCACCGACGCACCCCCAAAAAGGGCTAGGCGGGGTGCGGGAGCTTGCAAATTCGGAGGCCAACTCGTGCAACGCGTCCGCGTCCGTCAGCGGAACTCCTGGTAGGCGAAGGCTGCAGTTGATCGCGTCCACGGTCTTGTTGAGGACGTCGTACGCAGTGGATTTTCCGACCCTAAACAGCATCATCATGTCCAAGCACTTCGCCCCGGAAAGCATATGCAGCGTGAGGCTCAATCGCGCGTCCGGCGCGACAACCCCTCCGCTGGATTGCGCGGCCATCGCGGCGTCTCGCGTCAGGTACGGCTTCAGCAACTCGAGGAGGCTGCCGAACGCCTCTCTGCTCATACGGAAAGCCCTCTGTAACTCGTCGCTGGATAAGTACCTGTGGGCCTCCGCAAATGTCGGGCGAGCTCTGACAACGCTCTTCTCCCTGCGCTGCTGCTTCTCCACGCCGCCGCTGGCGACACCACATGCCAAGAGGATGAGGGAAGACGACGCAACAGCAGCAGCTGCGGCGGCCGCTGCCGCGGCAGCCAAGGCTGCTTTTTCTTCTTCTGATAGCGGCATATCCAATGTACGAGTCCTGATGGCCCGCCTCTGTGCTTTGGAGAACGCAGATGAGAGGCGACGGCCAGGGCCTTTTCGGATATGCTGGTGTTTCGCTTTTTGGAGCATGGCGATCGGGATCCTATGACAAGCGTGCATG